AATTGTGCTATAAGAATCACAGTTAGGGTTTAAGCATTCAGAAAAAACTGTAAACGCAATTTAGATTATGACAGGTTAGTGCTGAACACTGAGACGACAGCTATTTCAACATCAGTGTAGGTCTCACAATGTTATCGATCAGAGAGGGAAAACTGAGAATTTTATGTCTCTTTACAATAAATGAAACAGTCCTTTAATCAGTCACCTCACTTCCAGTGTTTCATTGTGACTTATTTCCTTTTATTTCAACCCTCAAGTCTGAGATTTCAGTTCATTTTAATGATAGAATATCTGGCAATCATGAGCAGTCACTTTATTAACAGTCACTAAGTGTTCAAAGTGAAAAACTGAAGATCAAAAAACATCTGGAGTCTAATGCAGAGTTAGACTGTTCAGGCTTTTTTTCTCAGGTCAGTCATTTCTGCAGTGTTGCTGTAAAGTTACTCCCCAAATGATCATATAGAACACAAATATAAAAATGTACATGGAGAAAAATCTGAAATGTTTCTTTTTCGCAACATTTTCTTACTTGAGGAGTTTTGCAGTTTAACATGTTCATGCTTCCAAAGCGCTTTCACCAACACTGGCTCTTTTATGCTGCAAAAAAGATTCAAATTAAATGAGAACATTTTAAACTCTGCTTCTTTCACATGTATGCATCTGTGATCATGTCTGAACCTGCAGAAGGAAACAAACCTGAAAACAGAGGTGCAGTAAGAGGCGGAGCGAGACGAGACAGACGGGATTCACCTTAAAGTTTGTGGATGACAGAGCTGCAGTCGAGACGCATTTCTGTGCTTCTCTCTGAAGAAAACACAACTGAGTTCATGTTTTATTTCCCAGCATCTGACCCGAATCTGATTATTGGTGAGTACACCTGATATTTATTGTGTTTTAACAGAATATTTCCAGCTTTCATCAAACAGGAAGTTTCATTCATTTATGCTTATTCATTTTATTGTTATTTGTAGCAAAAGTCAGTGTCACAAACCACAGTTTTTATATA